AAAACTTCCAGAACACGGCCACACAGCCCGGAAGACCCACCCCAGCCATAGTATTCCGGCCGTGAAAGCCTTCGACAATACACAAATATGAATTTGTCTGCAGAATCAGTGCTTCTGTTTGTCTCTCCCCCACCCACATCAAAGTACAGCAGAACAGGTTTTGGTTATTCACATACTATGGTAGAATGAAATTTTGGGAACATGAGATTACATAGATATTCCTTTACCCAGTCTTGTAATATTCTTAACTCAAGCAATTAATACAGCAAAAACACTGCATATTCCCTCTTCTGGACTAAATTCCAACTCTTCCTCATCTGCACTTACTGGATGTCAGCATCACCTTTCATTCTAGTTATGCTAACTTTGATTCATCTTGAAACAGAATGTGAAGAATTGGGGTTGATTAATATACTTGAGCTATATGTTGAGGATGATGACAGAGTCCATATTTGTGGTGAATGCAGGAATCGTGTGGGAAAATGCTCCTGGTTTCATAATTCTGATAGAGTGTTTAGGGCTATTCCAGACTTGAAGCAGCCGCCGTGGGCATCGGACACAGCACACAAGTGGCCTGCATTGTGAATGAGCCTTCTTCACCTGTCTGGTTAAGGAGTCTCTGCTGGAGCCACTGCTGAAGATACAGTTGCTCCAGTTAATTTCTATATATGGAAAGGCTGGGGTGCTATCCTGTCCTTCACCTCTTGGGACTGGCTTGTAAGAAATTTTTACAGCTGCATCGGTAACAGGATGGAAGTACTATGTGTCCTTCTAAATACCCCCCTAGTTCAGACTGTTTTGGAGCTCTCCGCCATGCAGCCCAACCCACCATTCTATTCACACATTTTTTTTCTCATACAAACACTGCAGGGAACCAAAAGAAAAAGATTCTCTTCAAGCACCACCCAAAAGTCATTTGATAGGCAGATGCGCACACAATCACATTGTCTTTTTCTATTAAAAGAAGGAGCAACTGGTTTCAACTTCTTTATTTTTCCTCATGAATGTAACCATATAAAAACCATAAGTTATGAAAATCACACTATGTCAGCTTTCCAAGGGCAAGGGATTAAAAAACGCCATCACCCTCCACAGATCTGAACAGGAAATTTAAGAGGGAAAAGTACAAAACCGTCAGTGAAAAAACAACACCCACAAAATGGAGATGCCTTTTTCACCCACACCTCCACATGCCCTCTTGATTTAAAAAACCTGTTGGGATGCCCATCCTGCTGACTGGACGCGAGATTGATGTATGTACCCCCAAAAACCAAGCAGCGTTTGCACTGGAGGTGGTGACAAGGGACTGTGTTACTCTGAAAAATGGGGTGGGAGGAAGAAAAATTTTAGGCAACACAGTTTGGCAGAGAAGACCAACAGTGATTTAACAAAAATAAAAATTCATGATGGAAGCCTGCTGTTGGCACTCAAGCCTCAGAACAAACGGACGGACAAACCACGTGCGTGTCTTCAATTGTGCTAACAGCCTCAGTTCCTGGTAGTTGGGGAAAGGGAAGGCTTTTGAAAACAAGGGGCAATGGGATTTGGGGATGGGGGATCTTGGCTATTTCCCCCTAGCCTCTAATACTGACCCTCTCCTTGCTGGCCCAGAGGTGCAGCTATAGGGAACTACACAATGAAATGAATTAGTGATACGTCAACTGAATAGGATGACAGAGAGGATTTGCTCTGGGTGCAAGGTTTGTTGAAGGAGGAGAAAAAAAACCTGTGGGGACAAAGGGGCTAACGCATCCGATAATCCGTTGAACACGACAGCTCACACAACTGGCCCTTGAAATCCAAATCAATGGTGAAGTCCAAATCTCGCTGCATACAAAAAAAGAAAATGAGTCAAAACTTTTTTTCCCCACACAATGTACTCTACCACACGCAGGAAGCTCAACCTCATCTCCGTTAACAGGGAGGATTTACTTGTCATTATGGTGCTGCAAAAATTGTTAAATCGTCTTTTCAGAATGTTAACGTGCAAGTTGATGTGTTCCTTAACTGCTCCATCTCTACTTCACGTAACCTGGCCACTGGGATAAATGGGACTGAGCTTCAGATCCTTTCATAATAAGTTCTCCACAGCACCTTCTTGTCCCCTGCCCTCGTCAATCTATTTCTTCAAGTGGCGAGAAATGTGACTGCACCAAACATCACATAGGGTAACAGCACTAAATGTTGATGGGCATAAGGAGGCTTTAGAATGGCAATCTCCAGTCAAGAATAAACACTTGTTATATTAAAATCATCTAATTCCCCTAAGAACTTTAGCTTGAACACCTTGCTGGAGCAAAAGTTAGCCCTTGAATGAATACAGTGGTGGGAGCTTCCTGCAGCACATCACCTTAACACATTTAATTTTAAACCTAAACTTTAAATAAAGATTAAAGTACACTGATTAAAACAGCTGAAATTTCACAAGTTTGCCAAATCTGGCAAGACTTTAGGGTTCTCGCATGACATTTCAAGCGAGAAAGCCCCAAATCCCAATTTTATATTAGTTTTGTACAAGATCTTGCAGGTGAGTTTTTAACAAAGAAAAAAACTTTTTTTCAGAACCCTCTTTATATATTCACGAGCTTATGCAAATTTCATCAGTCAAGCCTGAGTCACGACTAAACAATTTTTCTTTTTAAAAAACATAAAAGCTACAGATTAGCTGGCCTTCTCCCACAGGCTA